ACAGAAGTTTTAAGTAGCAAAGCAAAAATAATTCACCAATCATTGTATAGCCCAGAAGTAAATACTACATTTTGACATATTTCTGTTTGGATGGGATGACACTGTTAACTATTTCTGCCTAACTTTCCATCAGTTTGAAGTTTCAAAAAAATTAAAAGCCTACTGGCCTTTCTTCCCCAGCCTGCCTGGGGATGGCCCTACCACAGAGCCTCAGGCGCCGCGTCAGGCCAGTGCGTTCTGCCGCCTCAGCTCTTCTCCTTTAAGGCTGTACAGGAGAGGACAGTGTAGAGTGTACCTCTCTCCTCAGGCTGGGCTGGCCTTCTCCCCTGAAACAGCAGGACAGTAGTGCTGTGACTTCACGAACAAGGACGCATGCAAAGGCCTGCACAGACACCCGGCTTTCCTAACCTATGGAAGTAACCACACTGGTCAGCTGATTATCACTATACGAATTTTGTCATCCTTCGGTGTTACACTCTAGTCATGGGGTAACCAGCAAAGAAGTTACTGAGCATATGTGATTTAAGGGCACAGATGCTTTTGAACAGAACAAAGGCTTTCACGTTGAACTGAAAAAAACAAAATTTACAGATTTAGGGTATGAGGCTACGTACTTAATTATACTGAATTTCACATAAAAGGACTTTAAAAATTGTTATTTTTCCTTAAGGAGTATAAGACATATGTACATTTAAATAGATCTATTTTTAAATATAACACAAATTATACAGAAGAACTTACTTGACATGTAAAATCTTTTTGGTTCTCTATCTTCTTATGCTGTTGAAGTCCTAAGTTATCCCTACCCCATACCATCTGCATTTTATGTAATAGTCTCTTCAAACATGTAGAAGTATTTAGTAAATAAAACCAAAAAGTATTTTTGATTCATAAGAAACACTTCTTATAACTTGACTACCAGTCTGTGCTTGCACCCAGCCCCGCGGCATCATGCAGGTAGTGTCCAGCACTGATGGGGGTCCTGAGCTGAAAACGTGGGCGCGCTGCAGCACAGCCCATTCTGGGAGCTTGAACAACGACCACTGAAGGCTGTTCATAAGACACATACTGAGGATGCTCAAAGAATGGCCTCGTTCACGTATGACCTCACATTCCACCATTGCTATTAAAATTTAAAAGACTTTCATTTCAGGAACTAAAATCATTCTTGGTTTTGACTGCTTAAAGAAGTAATTTAAAAAGGTCATCAACCAGGCTGAGTCTTGGTCAGTGGAGTCCCTTAGACCAGTCTCGTGCTCACACATGCAGTATGGCGGAGTCTAGGACTTAGGGGTTGAAGCAGTGCTTCCTCCTGTGCTTTTAAGGTGAATTCACTGCTTAGAACCAGTGCACACACTTTTTTACAGAGTTCAAATAGAAAAATAATAAATGTTTAAAGTTTTTTCAATAAATATTAGCTAGCTAATCAGTGAAACTGTGATTCTTCAGGCTCTTTGTGAGTACTAGTGATGGCCACCCCAGATAGGGATCATCAGACAAGACAAGTTTCCATTACTTAACTACTGCCATTTGGCAACTGGTAATGTCCCATTACATTCCATGGTGAACTTCAGGGCCTTCGGCTATAAACACCATGAAACTCGAGTCCAAAACAAAGTGAACCATACTGTCCCATAAGGAGAGAGCTATAAACCAGATCCTTCGATCAGAATGCCACCCTGTAATAACAAGAAACGCTATAAATAAAGCCTAGAATTATAAGACTAAAGGAACATGTTTATTGTATAATGAACATTCTAAAACAAAACCACATGTAAAATGTAATGATTATTCAGAATTTTAAGCAGCTGCTTAGTTCCTTGGTTCACAATCTTGCGTCTTCCATTCCATCAATCACTAGCGAGAGGGAAAGTTCCAAAGCTATTTTTAAAGTCAGTAATAGGCTTAGGATTCCAGCTAGTACTCGGAGCAGATGAGCCAGCTGTGCTAGAACTAGTGCTAAGACAGTCCTCTGCTGGTGAGCTCCTCGCAGAGACCCTGAAGTGAGTGCCATGACCCTGCTTTGGGGAGTGAAGACCCAGCAGCTCAACAGACAACCTATGGTAGGTGAGACAGGCTAGGGGACACGGTGACAACCGGCAGGGATAAGCTCTCATGAAGGGGCAGCTGAGGAGCCCCCATCACACTTGGTGGACAGAAGGATTAAGGAAAAGTCCACAGACTTAAGGGAAACCCTGCGTTCACTCAGAGTCCTGAAAGTCTGCTGAAAATTAGTGTTCTAGATGATATACTATGGAAAGGAAA